CACGGTGGGGAAGCCAAAGGATCAAAAGGGATCTTAGTAACTTACTCACCTATGTAATAAATATGAGTTCAACAGTTTAATTGTTCGTTGTGTTATCGTCTGTTTCCAGCATGTCTCAACAACAACAATATGGAAAATCAGCCGAAGCCGCCCAGAATCGTAACGACCTGCTTTCTGCTCTGGTCCAAAACCACCTCAATGGCCAGCAGTTACTCACCAGCATGGGAGCACGTTTCCCGAACGCTCGGCCGTCCGTTCAACAAGTTTGGACTATGCCCCAGGATGATCTGAAGCGGCATCCCGAACTATGGGCCGCTTTTGTGCGAGGTTGGCAAACCTGCCTTGCAGGCGTCCCGACGCCACCGCCTGCACCGATTCCACCTGCAGTCCGGCCACCTTTCCATCCGCATACACGCCACCCGGTGGCCCGGCAGCAGCATACGCACACGTTCAGAGTGCCTGTGAACGTCAGAGCTTCACCACCATCAAGGGCTCCCTCTGGCAGCGTAAAGTCGGCCACCGGCTCCACGTCGTCAGCCCAATCATCCACCGGGTTGACATATAAGGAGAGGAAGAAGCAGCGAATGGTGGAGTATCGCAAGGAAAAGAGGAAGGAGCTTCAACGCCTAGCGAAGGAATTGAAAGCTCAGTCCGTACCCTCTTCCCAGCAACACAGGTTGGAAAAGAAGTCGGGAGATAGGATAACCTACCCCCATGCCGAGATCCAAACCACCATCGGAGGTCTCCAGTATCGCTACGGAAGACTTTCAGATGGACATAGAGGACCCGGTAGAGGGAGAGGTAGCGCCATCTCCCGACCATCTCAGCGAGGACATCGAGATCTTCCTCAATCCTATAACACCATCTGCCCCCCAGATCTCCTTGCTCTTTACTTCCCAATCCTATCTCCTCCTGGGAGTGTCACCCGCTATCCTTAGAGGAAGGCGATAGTGAACACCTCAGAAAGCCCGTTTTTCCGAAAGGGACTTAGCGATGCTATAAAGAAGAGGATATAGAGGAAGAGAAAAGAATTGTATCGACTGAGATTTAGTTCACCGGTTGCTCAGCTTAGTGAGGGAGAGTTGACACGGCCCGTAATAGCGCACTATTCATTTACCGTGAATTAGCACGTTATCCGGTCGTGATTATCAGCTGTCCACCGTCGCACTCATTAGTGTTGACGATAACACAAGTTTGTCTTATCCGGCGGTCGGTAGATAGGACAGGTCAGGGGGGTTCAGCACCGCGAGACACGTCGGCGACTATGTAAACCAGTTCACCTGTGACTTACATCCGCCGTACGTGCCGTGTGATTTTTCATCAGCGCATTATCGATTTCTTTTTTGTATTTCGCACCTCGCTGTCACCAATTTTTATAATATTATTATAATTCAAAATAAAGTTAATCGGCCACTTAACGGTGTTACATTTTTATTTTATTAAAAACACCTTTATACTGTGTCAACTTGTGAAGTCGGCGGACCACTGCCCGTGGGGTAAACTATCGGGTTATCATGCCCACTTGGCCGACATCGGCGTACTGGCTGAGGATCAGTTTAGTTTTAGGGGGAGGAGGTCGAACAGGGCTTCAGAGTGTCGGTGAGCCTGGACATCCAAAACGCGTTCAACTCCGTGCGATAGTCACACATTCTCGGAACGCTAGACGCGTTTCGGGTGCCTCCGTACCTCAGACGGATGATCCAATCGTATTTTAACGATCGGGTCATCTCCCACGAGAGCGGCGCATGCCCGAGAATCAGACACGTAACAGGCGGCGTCCCGCTGGGATCGGTTCTCGGACCCGACGGTGTTCCGCGTTCCGCTACCACCACACGTGCGCGTCTTCTATCACGTCCGAGGAGGCAGGTTCTCGTGAGAATAGCGCGCTCAGCGCAGTAACCGACTGGATCCAGCAGCAGAGAAATGGACTAGGCCTCGTCTTGGACAAGACCGAAGCGGTCTTATTCACGGGCAGGTACAAGTTCACTCCTCCACGGTTCGCTGTTTTGGGGGTGGAGATCCCCATACTTGCGGCGCAGATTTTTTGTCAGCGTCGTACATACAGTTCTCCTGCACGAGTCCTCGGTTTGGGCGGATACTCTTAAATATCATCATATCATGATTCCAAAAACAGGGCATGCCTATTTTTAAGGAAAGTTTGATTGAGCTTTCGAATACATACTAAATATACATTGGATTTCATGGCAACTATGTAGAAAAATACTTTAAAAGTCACAGAATAAATAAATAAATTTTTATAAAACTAAAACTAGTTTAGTTTTCCAACACAGAGAAATTTTTTTGCGAATAAACCTCGTATATTTAAAAGACAGAATATTTCAAATTAACTAAAAGTACTTAATAATATAATAAATTTTGTATGTATACAAAAGTTGCAATTTTGACTTCTCCCTTCTTATGATCACGTAAGGAACTATATTAACATAAAAAAAAATTTTATCGGAAAATGTAATTAATTAATTATCAAAAAAGTTTTAGCACTTTCATTAAGAAAAGTAAAAATTAAAAAAAATGACTAAATTATGCAATTTTAGTGATAGTTATTTTTTTGGGAATATCTTAATATTTACAAAACAGTGTGTTATTACAATATTATTTTTTAAATTTGATTCATGACAACAGAAATCACAAAGTTATTAATACCAGTGTAATAGTATACGTAAAAATTACAATAAAATATTATGTTATTGTACATAAATTTTTTTTTTTACAAAATTATAAAATCATAATTAAGTAACCTGATTTAAATAATGACAGCAATATATAATAACTATATATGTGAAGCCACTATATGGAACTAATTAAAAAAAAAAAAAACTTTTGTAATACATTTTTTTTAAGTATTGAAGAGAGCCATTTTATAGATAAATTTTAAAGAAGCATTTCGATGCCAAAAACTTGACGTAATAGCCCGATGGTTTGCATTTCGCATCACGCATTAATCAATACAGAATTTATAATCTGTGTTTTATATTACTTGTATACAAACAAACAATTTATTTATCTGTCATAACATTTACACTGTTGTACACTAGCTATTACACATATCTTCTTCTTCTTCCTCGCCTTAATCCNTATATATATATATATATATATATTATATATATACATGTTAAATCAATTATTGTATACTAAGTATCTTATCTTAAAATAATAATGTTCAATTTAATAGAATAAACTGAGAATCACTAAAATCGATGTCGACAATATCCTAAGATGGAGGTAATTAATAATAACATAAAAAGGCATAATTTTGCTTGTACATCAGTGAGCGAGCAAGCCGTACTTTTGATGCTCTAAATTTAATGTAAAATTCAGAATTCTCTTTTCCAAATTATTTTTCTTAGACTAGTCACGGCTTCGTGTTGTCGTTGGTACATTTTAATTCAATATTGAAATATATTTATTTTACGTCGAGACTTCATTTATTTATTTAAAAAGAAACATTATAGAATTCAGGTTGGCAAATAGGAGGCCAAGATTCCGGCCAACAAGTTCCGGTTACAAGAATACCTCAGTATATAATTCCTCTATACGAGGAACTTTAATCATTTCTTTTGTATCTGCTTGCCTTAATTGTTCTAAACCCTGGGACTTTACAACCCCGAAAGAACCTCGTTGCTTACCAATTGACAAAATCCCCAAACATCAAAACTTGGTCAATATACCCACTTATACCATACCTCCTCAGTTATACATTATACGATTATTATTTATCATTAAAAACTCTTATTATAAATCAATAGTTACGTTTCTACAGCTTTTTGAAGTTATATTTTGTTAAGTGTTTTGTAAAAGTTTGTTATATTTTGAATTTTTTCCGATTTTTTTATGGTATCAAATATAGAGACAATCATTTCTGAAAAAAATAACATGTTCAAACGTTACTATTTTTCATAGAAAAGAAATGGTACTGTCGCCATTAAATAACGTAAAAAATAATGTTTACATACGTTGACTAACGTTTGATACCATAGAAAAATCTTAAAAAAATTCAAAATTTAACAAACTTCAAAAAGCTGTAAAACGTAACTACTGAATTAAAATAAGAGTTTTTAGCATCAAAATGTTTCTTTAAAACTTATCTATAAAATAGCTTTCTTTAATTCTTTAAAAAAATATTTTTTGTAATTGTGAAAAATAACACAATACACATTTCAAATATTCCAATATAGACCTATAGGGTAAAAATTAATTAATAAAAATGTTATGTAGATCATCAGTTATATGAGTTGTCAATTAAATCTATTCCACTCTGTATATAAAAAAATGAAGAAAAAAAAATTAGTATTATTTGTAGGATAAAATTTTGATCCCAATAGTAATTTTCTGACAAAAAAAATTACACAGATCGCATCTGTTAATAGTCAAATAAAAAATATTTTGCTCTTAAAAGTAGAATTCTACTATCAAGTATTAATTTACAGAAAAAATCTATAAAACTTTGAAATATACGTAACTATATTTTTTAGCGTGTGTACCTAACAATTGAACTATTTTTAACTAAACAAAAATATTCGATTCGTTGTGAATATTCGTTGAAATTGTTAAAATAATCGTAATTTTAATTATTTTAAATTATTTCTGTAAACAGATATCATTTAGGAGAAACTTTTTATAAATAAAAGGGATGCATTAAATTTAAACTGCTCCAGTATTACGCAGAAAAATATAGAGGTACCTTGTGCCCTTTTAATCTCTATCATTTATCATAAAATTAATAGGAATTGAATGTTTGTTACACTAGCGGATATATAATATAATTACTATGATTTCAAATAAAATTATTACTATCATTATTGTTACTCTTTACATGACATATTTGCTTAATACATATGCAATTATATATGTTTACATGGAAAGTAATTTTATATATAATTCGAATTAAAATCGATGTTTTCATTTCATAAAATTATATTTTTATGATATTTTTCAGTGTAACTATTTTACTATCACTTCCTTTATACTTAATCATTCGTTCGTTTACATAAAAACATGAATTATCTTAGTATAGTTTATAGTTTATATTATTTTTCTCTCTTAGATGACATTAAAGGCGCGGAAAGAACTGTAAACAGACCAAACCTTCCAGTAGTAAGTCCTTTTCTATAATTTAAATATGAACATTACAAAGATTTTCTAATAAGTATGGTTACTGAAACTAATAACAAAAAGTAAAGAACTCATCTAAAAAAAATTTCTTAAACAGTTAAAATAAAAAAAAAAATTACTACTAGTATTATTTTATATACAATTTTTTTAACTATATAAAATAAGTAACTACTCAAAAAGAAATAAATATTAAATTATAACTGAACATATGTATATAAATAATACATATTCAATAATTTATTATATTGCAGTTGCAATACATATATTAAATAGGTGAAAGATGTGATTATGTCAATAAATTTATAAGAAATACTTAAGTGGTAATGATAAGCAAAAAATCACACTATATTTTCGTATTGTTCTCACAAATTGTCCTTTAATATTTTTAGTTTCGATGCAAAGGTATTAATTACAATGATATGTTTTTTTTTATCTTTTTTGTGTGTCTGTAAACACTCAATCTTAGCTCTCACTGGACCAATTTTGATGAACAATACGTCAAAAGATTAAAAATTGTATCTAGTCGAAGATATTACCCTCAAAAATTAAAAACATTTCCCTCGTTCCCCATAAATGAGGGAAATCTCCAAAAAAATTAAAAATTTTAAAATCGTTAATTTTCGAAATTTTTAAAAATTTTTTTACTTAAAACTGCCATAACTTTTTCAAAAATGAACAAATTAATATGAATTTATTTATTTAGGTGTATGATCTTATTACCTTTTATTTGGTATATATTTTTTATAAATCTGACCCTTTACCTGCCTACTGGGGGGATTTAAAATGACAACCTTTTCACAAAAAATTAACTTTTTCAACTTAACTTTTAAAAGTATTCCGGACAGACACTTTTATAAATATATCTTAAATAAAAGCTAATGTAATGTACTTTATTACAGAAAAAAAAAATTTCTGACTTTATTTTGTCTTCACGGTAAAAATTATATTTTACATTTTTTACTTTAAAATGCTATAACTTTTTAAAAAATGTATGGATCAATAGAATTTTTTCATGAGATGTGGTATTTATATATATATCTTTCATTCGACAGACTTTTTTTTAAATCGAACTATGTCCCTAAATATGGGCGGGGGGG